GGAAATGATTGAAGGGAAAAAAAGAAAGATCTAGACGCAATCTAATCTAAAACAAAGAGCAGGAGCGAGAACCGGAACACATATTCTGAGATTGAAAAATGTAGACTGTAGGGCAAGATTAATTATCTGCAACAGTAGCGCGGCCTAGACGAAGTCTTAAATGACTAATAGGGACTCTACCTCGAAGTAATACTAACGTAGTCCCTGGGTAGAACAAGGTCTCTAGGAATGAGGGGGAGTGGTTTAGACCGTGCGAGTCGGGCAATCATCTTCCGAGGCGCCGGATTATGGTCAGTGTGTAGGTATTCCACTCCTCCTTGACGCAAAAAAAGAAAAATATTTCACATCCAATGATAATCTTCAAACAATATATTAGAACAAACAAATTAATTTTATAGAACGTGAACCAAAAATGAATGATACTGTATATAGAATGTGGATTTAAGGTACTGATATATCATAAGGGTATACCATCCCGTGTTTCACAAGTTCTGATTCATTTTAAAACAATAAATACCTGAATTGTACAAAATAAACAAGAAACTTTAAATAATTCAAAAGTTATTTTTGAAAAAACTAAAATTTCAATATATCTCAGGTACATTCCTAATGCAATTCCTGGAAAACAAGAACATAATTTTCAATATTTTGCAATACAGGTAAAATCCGTTACACTTTTTGTAGTATAAATATTGGATGGAAATAGAAGGAAGTCACATTATAACATCATTTGCCGTACATAACAGACTATCTGTACAGAACTATCTTACTTTGAAGAATTTAAAGAATAATTATATAGAAATGTTCACTCTGTGCTATTTTTTTGCTTTGGTGGTCTTAATTACCAGCTACATCGGGAACTTGAGGAATGATGACAAGCGGCCAAAAGATTATTATGTTAAAGGAATAGATATGAATATTCGAAAAAAAGAACTTCAAACAATGGAAATGGGGACATGGCAACTTAATTAATGCTGAAATATATATAATATATAAAAATTTTATTAAAATGTTTTTAAAAAACAAGATAAAATACTTTTTTTAATTAATAAAAAATATAAAACTGTTAAGCATAGTATTTTAATTGTACCTCAAAGTGTCTCTAATTAATATCTTACTAGATAATAAGATAATTTTGTTTTCAACATTCATATTCCCGTCATTATCCAGTTAAAACAACAGAGCAATCGATTTTGCTGCGAAATAATGTGAATTCGAGCTGGATGAATTCGGAGTTGCCATATTTTTGGGCGATCATTCATATTTAAAATATGAGTGGCCGTGTACAGGGCATTGCATATAATAATATCGTGTTGAAAGTTAAAATTTTTAATATTTTACCAGATTATACTAGAAACTTTTCAAGACAATATCCATTAATTAAAATTAATTGCTGTCTTTCTCTCACAATGCCAGAATTTCCATTTATTTACTACTTTATTTAGTACTAATCAATCTAACTGAGTTATCCTTTGATTGAATTTACAGCGCGCATGATAGTTGCAAAGCTATATGTTAGCTACACCAGCAATGACGTTTACAGAAAATGTTACCCACCCAGGCAATAAGATTTTTAGGCATCCTTGAGTATCACTTCTGTTTCTGTCTGGCTTTATTAAAAACTCAAACTCTTTTGAGATACCAGCCTTTCGTCCTATAGAATCTCGTAAATTTTCGCACCTCTTAACGAATGTGTACTGTGACTGCTTTTACGGGCTCTAATCTAGAATTGCTAAAGACCTATAAGGTCCATGCGAGGTCTCTAGAGCACTAACTAGCACTTTATTTTTTTATCTAATAATTTCTGATTGTTTATCCTTTTAGCTATCAGATGTTTGTACTGTAGTTAGCACTTTTATCTTTATGTGTCTAATAATTTTTTGGTAATGTAAATTTTTAGTTATCGATATTCACACTTTACTCCCATGTTTTTAATGCTGTTAGCTGGCACTGTGTAACTTTTTATTTGATTGTAACTATTGAAACTATATGTGCATACATAAGTTACTCGATATGAATAAAAATGAAATGATCTTGATATTCCAGCATAGATATTTCTTCTTCAAAAATATAAATTCTAAATAGTAATTCTTACTCAAAGCAAATACCGTATCTCACTCAAATACTTTTACATTTAAAATTAAAGATAAATATACTGTATCTGTACTGTAGTGCATAAATACACTCCGTATAATCGTTTATTGTGTTTGTAGATACAAGTACAATATTATGACTACTGTTGGAAGCCCCATTTGTAGGATAAACAAAAAGGCAACCTCTAAAGTTGTAGCAATTTTTGTTATTGGACCTTTCTCTATTTTCCATTTGTGTTGTTGGTTACTGAAATTAGCTTAGAAAGTTTAACAAAATAATCAGCAGTACAAACAAAAACTCTCCGAAAAGTTAGAATCCCAAAAAGTGGAAAACAAATTTTGGTCAAACTTTTGATGCAACTTCGTTACTTCCTCGTTATTTTGTCAACAAAAATTTTAATACCAAATTAACAGTTTTTTGTTTGTAATTAGTTTCGAATTACATTTTTAATGTGTTAGCTTTAATGACATTTGATTGCATTTTTACTGCTCATCACACAAAAATATTAAAGTCCTTATTTTGGTCAAACTAATAAGTCAACTTATTTTAGAATAAATTGCATTAACAACTGTCTTGCTATTAAGGTGATGTACTTTCCACATATCAATGATAAACGTCTGTATCAAAATATAAAGACCAAAATAGACCCCTCTTAGGGAGAATAGGGCTTTAATTTGATGTTTTCAGCAAACTCGGTCCGTCTCAGAATTGAACCGTCTCATATTGCTTCCATAACTCACATCAAACCGTACACCTCCTTGAGTCGCCCAAAAACTTGGTTTTTGGATCGAAAATCTAGGAAATATTCTTGATTCTTGTGGAGTTTATCTTAATGCAGTTCTAATATGTTCTGATATGATCTGTTCCTAACGTATAAACAACCCAGCTTCGCTTTCTTCTTTGAATTTGTTTAAACAGCGTTTTCTGACCTATTCGTAACCAAAGCCAACTGATTACCAAACAAATTTTGAATCAACTAAGCATTGAATTTCACTAAATATTATCTGTTGTGTTACTATTGATATTTGGATGATGGTCAAATATCGATGAACTACAACTTCCAATGCGAAATAACTTTTAACATTTTTTTCCTAATTAATATAGCTGTACACTAGCTTTATTACTACCTCTTGATAGACAATTATAGAAAAACTTCGTCTCCGCCCTATGGTCTTACTAAGAGCGGTGGCTTTACCTAAATACACCGAAGAAATAATAATAATAATACTAGCTTTAAAGTTCTAACTCCCAATTAACTGATTTGCATACTGCTTAGCAAAGCAAACTATTCTGTTATGAATACTCTACATTTATGTTTAAGCTCCAATAAAGACACAGATCTAGCACTTAGTTCTGATCTTGGTCCCATTAACATATAGTTTCAAATTGTTGTGTAAGATTGTCTTAAATTTAAATTAAATTTAATTTAATTTAAATTTAAAATACATAGTGATAAAGTAGAGTAAACCTACTTATTAACCTAAAATTTTGCAATTTTACAAACTATATTACACCCCCCATTAATATAAGAACTAGTAAAGATAATGCTTTTTCTATGAACTAGCATTTTTTTAATTGAACTTTTTTAAATATTCAGCTTAAAATACCTAATTAATTAAATAAGTCATAGACGTGACTAATTAATTGTTTTCATACAGAGCAATGTCTCTGCCATCTTCAGTATCAGATACCTTGAAGATATTGATTGTAACAGATATAGCTCGTATCCTATATCAATGTTTTCTCTATTAGACATTTCAATATCAGACATTTCAAAATTAGTGGTTTTAACAGGTTTCTTTATTGGATTTAATCTCAAGAAATATTGTATTTCGTTACCGATTCCTAATATTTGTAATCATAATAGCTCCATTTAATTGCGATGGAGATTGGTACTCCATCTTTAAAAACATTCTAAAGCTGATTGCATTTATTAAACGAAAATCTTATATTTGGGTATTTACGATTTCAACTTAAACTGAACCCATTGATAAAGTAAAGCAATTCTTAAAAGAAATTAATTCCTATATTTACATTATGAACATATATCGTAAATTCAAGTAATATCGTAAGGTCAAGTAGTAGTTCAAGTAATATTATCGTAAGGTGAAGAATTATTATCGAAGGTTCAAGTAATATTCTTTTACACAGTAAGTAATTTTATTTATCAATGTCAGGTATTCTGACACATAGGTAGATTCATGCTGGACAAGTCTGCGAGCGACTCTTTGGATGATGGCCTATGTGTTCATTGCGTTACCCTTCTTGTTTTAGTCTTCTTGTTTTAAGATATTCCACCTCGTAGTGACTTTGCTAGACCCGTAATTGCTGCAGTAGCATTTACTCTAAATATTAAAATAATCGACTTTGATTGGAAAACTATACCATGGTGGGGATACCCGTTTCAGTTAATATACTAATCATGACATTTATTTGAACGAAATTCAAGTGGTGTGCACTTGTGCTAACTTTACAACCACAATCATTTGCTATTTACCCATTACATAAAGAAATTCATTTTTATATTTTTTAAATTTATCTCCAAAATTGACGTATAATCATATTTTACATACAAATATATTTGCTCTTATAAATAATTTATTTTATTTTATTTAATAATAAAATTTAATTAAAATATAATATAAATATTTTTCATCTTTGTTTTTGTGTAACAAAATAATATAAAACAGAAATTGTTTATTTTTATTTTTAAGATATTTACAAAATAATAATAATGCTAACATATGTAAATATATTTACATATATATATAATATATGTTATATATATTATACATAATACATAATACGAATAATTTATTGTATTCAGCTTTTATGAAATTTTATTGAAAATAATTGTAAATATATTATAAGCGTGTAGGATTATCTCACATATGAATTTAGTTTAGTAGAACATTCTGATAGTTATATGGAACAACGTAATCCTAGATAGTTATAGAAAAACGTAATCCTATTCCTGATTTAGATTCTTAAGAACATAATTCACAATTAATGCGAATATACAAAAACTAATAACTATAACTAAATTTGAATAAATTGTTTGCCAATTAATATATGTATGGAAAAAACCTTTCGTACCGGCGTTAGCTTTGTTTTCGTTGTCGACATTGTGGGCGTTTTTATTGACAAGTTCACCATTAGCGACATTTGCAACAATCAAATCTTTGTCAGATTCAGCATCGTTATTATTGGTAACTGTTCCATTTGTGATCGTTGCAGCAGCACCTGTGGTGGCTGGTTGATGTTTTTGCAATCTTTTCGTTATTTCATCACAAATCTCAGGAAACAGTTCACGAAAGTGCTCGTTCTTCAAATTAAATGCCAACGATTTCTTAGCATATTGCTGTTTCTCATAAGTTGAAGATTCGATTGCCCCAAGTGTAGGTGTTGTTTCAATCTATAATTTAAAAATAATATATTAGTAATTTGTGGAGAGAATTAACATTAACATTATATTTTTAATAAAACTATTGCATGATATCACACCAAAAAAAACGTATGTTAATAATTGTTTAGCAATATTGTTGCTTCTTCAATTCTATCAAACTGGTAGAAGTATATCTTGATCGTGCAAAGTTCATTTAATACACTTACTATGCATGACGAAACGAATATCATATAACTGAATAACACGAAAAAGCTTCTTATCGATGTAGATTTAGGTCACGTATAATAAAAAAAAACAGTGATTCCAGAAATTATAAAATTTATAAAAATAGTACTTTTGAAACCATTTGACGTCTGGATCCAATCTAACGAAACATAATATTCCTGCTGCTTGATAAATTTTTAACTCAATCCCAACTTTCAACAACTTTCTAACCATTCCATTTAACCATTATCCAGTTATTCTTCATAAATTATATCCCAATTTGTACACAATATGATGTGCTGACTTTGCCTTCTAGTGGGGTTTCTTTATAGATTCCAACAACAGACACTGAGAACTTACAGATTGAACACAGAATCGAGTTATTTTTATAAATAGAGGTCTATTAAAGATATAAATCGAAAAGCTGGTATTTAAACCTTGGCTACCTGTTTACTTTTAGTTTATTATTTATTTTAAGGATATTAGCAGACTTTTATCTTTTAACAAGATTCTGTAATAATTACTGAAGTCATTATCTGTTTATTTAACTTCTTATAGCAGACCATGAGAAGTTAACTATTGAAGTAATAATTTTTGATATATTTGATATATTATTCTCTTTGCAAGGATAAAAAATTGCTTTGTTTGACGTTGATCTACACTATTAAGCTAATAGTCTGCAAATTCAGTTTTTTCCATTCCCTAGAGACTAACCATAAGTTAATAAATCTTAATATTGCTTAAACACATATAAATACAAATTAAATATATAATTTCTAAAGTAAGTTAGAATAGCTCTTGACTTAAAGGTCAGTCATATCCTTTTAAACCGGGTTCTTGTCCCGTCGTATTAGCAACTATGCTGTGTAAGGGGTTCTGTAAAATGAAACCAAAATAAGTGTAAATAAACTGCTATATCGATCAAATAATAAAAGATTTCTACTGGGCTTATACTATGTCTTAAACTTGGTATTAAATATTATCAATATATTTTCAATTGATAAAATAAAAGCTTATAGATTAGTTTTTATTCTTATATTATTATTTTATTATATGTATAGTCTATATAATTATCGCTTTGAAGTTCGTTTGACTTCTTCTTCAGGGTGAACTAAAATTACTCTATATTATTAACATAGTTTATAGTTAACTATAGTATAGAATAGATCCTCACATATAGAATATTATAGACACGAATACAAAGATAATGATCCAAACTACCTGTAGTGAAAAGAATCATTCCTTTTTCATGCCATCATATGCTAATCAAGTTTTCTAAAACAATAACAATAACAAAATAATCAAATTTTAATTTGATTATTAAAAATTTCATAGATATAGTTTTCATAGATAGAGTTCTTGCCATTAAAAATGGCAAAAACTCTACTTATTGGAAGTTTGCAATTTCATAGATATAAAAACAAATGTTAAGTGAATTAAAACAGTTTGCTCAATTCTCATTTGTATAATATTATATATCTAGAAAAATTATTTATCTTTTACATAACTAAAATAACTTAACTAAAAATAAATGTGTTCCAATGCAATTGCAAAATGCTAAAGAATTTTTTAGTTAAGCTATTAATTTTTCAAATTGAATTCACTATAAAATAAATTCTTTGTATATATATATATATATATATATATATAGACATTTGTTTATAAGAATGAATCAACAACTCATTATTAACTCAGAAACTTAATACTAATAAAGATATTGTAGTGTTTTAATATAAACAGAAAACAGATTTAAGACGTGCTTAGAAAAAAAAGCAATTATTTTGCTAACAAAATCCAATAAAAATTATTATTACTCAGATTTTTGTTTACGTCTACGAAATAAGCATAAACAAAGACAAAGCAATAATATTGAAATATGTTTATAAAATTAAACTGGAACAATAATTTCAAAAAATTTCTTAAATATATCTCCACTTAAATTGAATTTATATTTTAAGAAAATGTTAATAGTATATGCATTTATATAAATATATATCAGTCGCTCAAGTTGACGATTATGCACTTATTCTATCCCTTATCTAAACAAAATACCCTAAAAAAACTTATAAAAACGTTATTGAACTATACAGTCTTGTGAAAATGGTATATATTAGGTCTTTAAAAATATAATTTAATTTCCTTACACTCTTAGGTATATAGGTAATACTATCCAGTGAAATAATAATTCTCAATCATTGATATATATATAAGTTTGAAAGTAGCACTTTCTGCATTGAGATACTTTAGTGAACTGTTTCAGCAAGAATTATAAAAGACCTTATGAAGATTGTCAAGAAACTATACTATATTTGTTTGTGTTGGTGGTAAAGACAAATACCTTTAATCGTATACAGATATATCTAATAATGTCTTATTTTAATTACCATAAAGCTTAGGAGTCCTGTTAATATTGTGCCGACACACCAAGTAGGGTTCCAGGTATCAGGATGGTAATCTATAATAAAAAAAGTAATTTATTTATACTATTTATTTTATTACTTATATTATAATTGAAATATTCAAATATACCTGAAATACTTAAGCATAACCTTGTGTTTGTTCTGAAACGACCATTTGGTGTGATCATAAATATGGAAGGCGGCTTGAAAGGAAACTCACGGGGAAACAGCAATGTGCCATGGTAATAACCACCTTGATATGGTGTGTCCTCTGGTCCTTTGACACAGTAATGCCACTCTAGCAAATTATTGGGCAAAGGCTCGGCTGTGATGTAAGGCAAAGGATCACGCTTAAGACGCATATAATCCTGTTTCATGCGAGATATAGCAGTTGGTTGCTTACGACCGCCAGTAGACGAAATTTTCTTAACTTCCATTACTGAATACTTAATTAATTTTACAGACTGCAAACAAAAAGTGGAAAAACAAAAAAAAACACGCATTTGAATTAAATTTATTTACATCATTGTTGTTGTTGTTGCTATCAAATTTTGCATAAAAATTAAAACACACACACACGCACACTTTTTCTCTTTACAAATTAATTGTCAATTTTTACAACTTTACAAGGTCAATTAGAGTATTCGCAAGTAAATTTTAAGTTTTTTTTATTTAAACAATAATGTTTAAACAAAAAAAACTACGGTTTTTTAATAAACTTAAATCACAAAGTTTTTCATTTTTTTTTATTTCACTTATGTTATTATTGTGAAGTCGGCAGATGTGTTCACTTGAAATTACCTAATTAGTTAAGGTTTTAATAAATTTTATTACAACACCAATAACACAAGTCCCTTACCAAAAATGTGTTGTTTGTCGATGTAAAATAAATTAACAAAATTATTTGTTGACAATATTAATCCAATTTTTGACACTTTCTTTCTACGTCACTTCGCTAAACAAAACCTTAAGTCAAAATTTGCTTAGCACAAAACAATGATGTGTTTTTACACGATTTGTTGTTTTTTATGTTAGCACAAAATGTTGCAATTTAGTTCAATGATTTAAATTCTTTTTATTCCCATTGACTTTATTACTGTCTAAGTAATAATAACAAACACAGATTGATATGATAAGCATAACTTCCTAAATTAAAATAACTCGACCCTTATTACTGCCTTCTTATTATAAATGCATATGAGCTGCTATCGATAACAAAGAGATTAAGTTGATAAATGAACAGGGTTGTTATAAGTTTTCATTCTGGCGTGATAACTTTAAATTCGTTTGACTATACACATTTATGCCGTTTAATTGAAATTCACTTTAAGTACAATTTTCATTTTTGATTGGGAATATCTAGCGGAATGTATAATACTGTGTTAAGGCAACCAAATTTCCTTTATTTCGTTTGAATGAAAATAATTAATTTGAAAAGTGTTCATACTGACACAAGTTAAGAAAATTATATATTTTTTGTTTACAAATCGAATGTTAATTACGTGGTGCAAACACCATTTTTATCTGGGAAATTTTAAAGGTTGATTATTGTAACTATAAATGTGAATTAACATTTTTCACTCTATTTTATTTATTTGTCTCTATAATCAAACTTAAAAATTTGCGCTACTTTCAAAATGTTTTCCCGGTTTTATTAAAGTCAACTGTCACTGACATTTATTTAAAAAAAATATCTCTTTTTCGTTATCTCAACTTTATCTTTTGCTTAAAATTTATATTTCAAATAGTCACATTGGAAATTTCCCTAAATTTTTGACTTCGTTTCAAGACTATCAAAAAAATATTAGATTATTCTAAAAAATGTTCGATTGAACAACAAAACCTAATAGATCCAGAGTAAATCGAGATTCACTCAAGATTTAACAATCGAAAACGTTATAAAAATGTTTAATTGGCAACAAAATTTGATAGATAGAGAGTAAATCTAAATCGAATTCAGATTTACAAATCGAAAACGCCATTAAACAATATATTAGAAATATTCAAACGTGTTTGGATTTGTTTTTGTACAACGCGAAACAGCTGAAACTGTTTTTTTTTTTTTTGAAATGCAATTTCATTTTCTATGAAATGTTATAGAAAATGTAAATTTAATTTAAAATTTGAAAAGTTTGAAAATGTAATAAAGATAGAAATATTGAAAAAAATAAAATATTAAGTAATCGAAGAAGTCTTACTGTAATTTTAAATTTCGTTTTTCCACTTAGTTTTTTAAATATTTCTTGCTTATTTGAAAAATTTCTGAAAAGTATTATAGAAAATTTATATTTAATTTAATATAAGAAGTTTTTGAAATTGTGATAAATATAGAAATATTAATAGAAACATAAAATTAAATAATGGAGTAACTTTAACTGGAATTTTAATTTTTTTTTGAGAATTTTCTTGGAATTTTTTTTTGAAAATAAGCTGTTTTAGTAGTTTTATTTAATAACTTTACCTAAAATCTACTAACATTAATTTCGCAATAAAAATTGAAATAAATTTATACATATATATAAAATTTTTCAATTTTCCTTGTGAAATGGATATTAATAATTAGTCTATTAGCTTATAATTAGTCTGTTAAAAAAATACATTCAGATATTTATCATTTTATTACTAAACTAATTACCGCTTTACCGAACATCGTCTGAATACCGCTATTAAATTATTTCGAGCATGATATTGAAAAGAATTTATTTATGTTATGTTATTCTTCTATTTTATGAGAGAATAACATAATATTATATTTTGAACACTAAAACGATAAGTGATATTTAAATGTTTGTCGAGAAATACAAAAATCGAAAAATATTATTTACATATGTTACCAACTTTATTGTATTTACCTCTCTAGTCTAATTTTGTACTATGTGTATTAATTTTAACAAAAAAAACTTATAATAGAATATTTTACACACTAATTCTAGTTAAAAAAACAAGACTTAACTTCAAAAAAGCTGATACTAGTTTATTTTTACTGATTTTACAATTTTTTCAATTTTTTACAATTTTATATTTAAATATATGAAGACTATAATTTATATATATGTAAACTGATATAGCATGTAAATCAATGCTAGTTTGTTAATAATAAATTATTATTATTATTATAACTATAACGTATGGTTACTGCGTTATGTTCATTTTGTCAGAATAATATATTTTTAACTTCGAAAATAGTTTATAAAAACAAAGAGTTATATTTGTATAAGGAATATATTATATATTAGAATATATAATTTATTTTATCAATTTTTCACGGCATTTAGATTTTTCTCAGTTGGTTGTCTTTCTTTTTTTTTTTAATTGATATTACTAATATATTTTTTAATGCGATCCTGATATATATACATATGTATATATAAATATAAGTGCTTTTTTATAAAAATTTAAATTTGCTAAGACATATTGTATTAACAATCTTGCCAATATAATGTCCCTTGCTTCTAGTCAAAAATATCTATAAGACAGGACAGATGTCATAGTTGTATTTTAAGTCTCAATACAAACCTTAGTTTGCTGACTTAATTCAAACTTAGGTCAGTGTAGTATATAGTATCATGTATAAGTTACTTGCTCTGCCAGAACAATTGTAGAATATTCTAAAACTGATGTTTTTATCAAATTGTAAAACATATATGCTATTGAATTCGCCGTAAGAATATAGAATATGTTATGATAAATAAAGATTACTATAAGAATATCGCAATCTTTCACATTTTTATGTTTTTTGTTTGTTTATGTAAACTTTACGCCATTTCAGGCAGTGGTCTGAAAATAGGGACAACTTTATCTTCAGCTAACAGTAAGTTTAATTACGATCTTCCATTACTACATATGGCAAGCTTAAATGAATTTAATAATTTAGAAACATAGATAGATATGAGAGACAAATAATAATTTAATATTTGAAGTTCTCTCTCTATGCCTGGTCCAAAATACAAATTGCAGCGACGGAATTGTAGAAAGCGAAGCTTTATATTTTTGAATCTCGTATTGCTTAATTCCCTCAATCTCAGCAAGTTATTGGCACACATTTTGCATTAGGATCCAGTTAATATTGTGAACTACTTTACTGGTTATACTCAGAAAATCTTGCGTGTTCTCTCTATGTCTAATGGCAGTAGCAAATCGTCAATGTAACCTTTACCTTATCTATTGCAGACCTTCTAGACGAATCAAGGAAGAATTTGTTTCATTATTTTTAAGATTATTTTATTATAATGCCGTTGTAGGCGTTCTTTAGATAGATTAAAATTTTTATATTTATTAATTTGAATGCAGCAAATTTGGACTCTGATGCACTTATCTCATTTCAGTGACCCAAATTAGCAAGCGATTATTTACATACAGAAAGCATGAAAAATTGAACTGAAAACACCTTTCTTTACGTCATTCATCAAAGTTTCGATTTTGATTCCTTATCACAATGTTTACAAAATGTATTGAATTTAAATTGATATTTTTCCAGTCAACAAATAAAAAAAAAACAGTTGTAACTGATAAGATGCGGTTCGCTCTTCACGCAGCCAACACAATACAAGCACAATCGACATAATTCACATGCCCCGATAGCTTTGCTGTAAAGTGCTGATGGTTCTACGAGAAGCAAAGGCTTATCTAGACTACGAAGTACTACGTTTCATGTTGTATTCGAGACATGAGTTCAAAGACTGCATTAGTGATCAATTGGTGTCCGAAGTAAAAACACTAACAAGCCAAAAGTATAAGAAATAAAATGAATCAAATCGGACGAATTGGTTTTTTGGGAGGTGGAAAAATTGCGCAAGCTATGGCCAAGGGCTTTATAGCTGCTGGTAATAAAATGAATATAGTTTTCTTCAGTTTATATATGAGTATATCACCTATTTCTTAGGTCTAACAAAAGCTGAAAATATTATGGCTAGTGTACATCCAGCAGATAAAGTTTCACTGGATTCATTTAAGGTTCAAATTAATATATAATATCTTATCTAACCCTTAATAAGAAATGTCTATATTACAGAACATCGGTGTTGAAACTTTAGTGGAAAATATACCTGTTGTGCAGAAATCTGATGTTGTTTTTATATCTGTGAAACCGCAAGTTGTTCCAAAAGTGTTAACAGAGATAAAATCTAAAAGTGATGACAAACTATTCGTGTCGGTAGCGATGGGCGTTACACTTAAAACTCTGGAACAGGTAAAAATCAAAATGTCTTAAATTAAGTGAAAAATGAAACTTAATAAGTATAAATGTAGCCTCTGGAATTGAAATTTTATTCCACACCAAGATTTCCTTTAAATTAAATGAGATTTTTTTTTTAAAGATCCCTAGCCAATACTAACTTTTAGTGTGTTACTAGAATTATCTACTTTATTTTTAAATCGTTGTGATTTTATTATTAATATCGTGTAAGTTAACCAAATACAAATATACATTTCTTTGAGCCTCCTAAAGTTACTAGTTCTAATATAAGACTTCTACTTTCACAGACTGTTTTTCAAGCAAAGAATTACACTATTGGGGTCTCCGTTTTTGTAAAATATTTCTAAAGGAATAAAATGCGCCTACCTCTAAATTAACTCAGATACTTCAACAGTAAATCAAGGCATTATTTTTCTAAAAATTCTCTTCAATATTCCTAGCGAGCTACTAGCGTGTAGTGCTTTGGTGGCTGCTAAATCAGAATGGAATTGATAACAATGTGTATACATTAGAACTGTTTCAGTCATATTCAGTGTTAGTTCACTGAACGAAAGACTTAATGTAGAATTAGTTAGAATCTAATACAATCCCTGATTAGTAATTGGATTAATACAATAAGATGTCTTTACTAATTAAAAGACTTAGTGACCTGATAAAAAACCCGAGATGATCAACTACACTAAAGAGCAATTTAGTCCTTATACAAAAAAATGTTTCTTCTAAGTAAGACAAATTTAATATTGTTTACAAATTGGACAAATTAACTTACGCGCCTATTCCAACAAAATGGATCTGTCTGAAATGACAAAAAATCACTGCTATTTAAAAGAGGATCAAACTTTTAGCCAGCTTTGATAGTATCCAGTATCCGGCTTTGGGTAGGCAATAGAATAATAAGGCGGATGATTATGATTTCGATGGATATTAAGAACTTCTCAATGTGAGAGCTTCTTACATTCATTAGAAAGACTAAATGCGTTTGATTTAAAAATGGTTAGTTTTAACACTAAAAAAAAGGATTTACTATGGGTTCAGAGTTCTGCTCCACTGGCAGCCCTTTTCCGTTTTCAATAGATGTATTGACTACTATTATTTAGTTAAATAATCTAACGAATACATTTTTTTGAACAGACATTATCTTCTCTTTTAAATGTCCGTTTTCCCTAGTAAGGCATAGGGTCGAATAGGAACAAACATTGTAATATAATAAAATTCCAAAGAGCTCCATACAGATATTGTCATTCTATTACAGAACTACATATTATTATATTTTTTATTAGATTTATAATTGTAACTCATGATAGAGTTTAATTTTAATATTGTATCTACTTGGAAATTTTAGAAACCTTTATAAAGTGTGCATTAAACGCAACTGTTGACAAAAAAATGAAAACCTAAACAGATCCATATTACTGAAGGTAACTATACCAAGAGATCACACAAGTTAATAATAGTAACACGAAAAAAAAGTAGTATATACCGTAGCATTACATCTGGGTGTCGATTCCAAATATAAGTGTCTCAATCTCAAGTTTTAAATCAGCTCCTAGAATTTTATAGACCTTCGATACTATTTGTTTTAACATAAAATTAAGATTCCACTCAGATTGAAATCAAATTTATAATTTAAATTTAGCCTTGTAGTGTTCTCTTTACATATACATCAATTGACATTTTCTTTTAATTTTACATGACAGGGACTTTCGCAAAATTCTCGCGTTGTACGTGTTATGCCTAATACTCCCGCATTAGTACAATCTGGATGTTCGGTTTATGTACGTGGAACTAAAGCCACTGATACAGATGCAAAAATCACACAAGCACTACTCGAATCGATTGGTACTTGTGAACAAGTTGATGAAAATTTACTAGACCCAATAACTGCCTTAAGTGGCAGTGGACCCGCTTATGTTTTTGTTATGATCGAAGCCTTAGCAGATGGCGGTGTACATATGGGCTTACCACGTGATTTAGCTTATAGACTAGCTGCACAAACTGTAATGGGATCGGGTCATCTTGTACGAGAAACTGCAGATCATCCTGGTGTGTTGAAAGATAATGTAACGAGTCCTGCTGGTTCAACTGCAGCTGGTCTGAGACATTTAGAATTATCAGGTATAATTTTTGCTATTTTTTTTTCAATTTTAATTTAAGCTTTAATTTACATAAATATTTTTTGTAGGTTTCCGCGCAGCTGTTGCTGGAGCAGTAGAAGCTGCAACGTTGCGTTGTCGACAAATTTCAGAAAAATAATTTTCTTGACTAAAAATTAATATGTTAAAATAAGAAATAGTTTTCTCTGTTATGCGTCGTGTGAATATATGTTATTTAGAGTTAAATAGGTTACATTTATATAAATAAATAAAAACATATAGATTATATATCCAATACATAATATATAAATTTTTTGAAATAAAATTTTCTATTTAATATTTTTACATATTTATATTTTTACAATAAACTACATTTAAATATATTACATATATATAAATATATTTTATACAAATATATTTTTTCTAATATAAATATAATATATAATTAAATTAATAGAATTTGGAGACAAGAGATTTGCAGCTTATGCAAAAGTACTAACAATAACTGTTACTTACTGGAGAAAATTCTTCAGATCTGAGTTAGGATAATTATTTAATAATTACTTTATAAATACTCTAACAGAATTGAGCTTGGATTATAACATAATATGAATGCATAATTATATTGTTAGTATGAAAATATACTAATTTTAATTAGTATATAAATTAGAAACTAGTTTTGTAATTCCAAAAACTAATATCGTGAACGTCCGAAACCATCCTTTATCTCTCCATTCTTTCTATTCTGATCATTTCAAATTATCTATAGTTGATAATCATTTAAATTATCTCATAAACATATATCTTAATTAACCCTAGTTCAGTACATTTAAAATTTCTTCTTTTTCTTAGCACGCGATAACTCATTAAGTTCGCTTTGTTGTACAGAAGCTTCTTGATAAATGCGTTTAACTTTCTCATGACGTTCCTTATCACTGTAAAATAAATAATTTTATATTAATTTTTTAATGACAAATATAATTAATTTAACGCACCTTTGTATCTGTTGTCGTATGCGCATATTTTGTATGAATTCTGTATCTCTACGTATCTCACGTATTGCACCTTTGGTTTCTCGTCTAAGTTTATGCATAAGCTTAGCTCTTTCTTCTTTTTCCTTAGACAGCTTAGGTCGTCGCTTGTCATCGTATACAGTTTCAATACGTGGTTCCAGTAAACGTAAAGCTCTTGGTCGTTTCTCTGGTGGTACAATTTTCGTTAAAGTCTTTCCAGCCACTACTTTTACGGCTTCCATAGCCGAGTCATAATTTTTATGAACAAAAGTAGGATATGATTTAACCGGTAGACGTTCTAACATTTCTAAAAGTTTCTCTGCTATATAGTTTGATCCTATCGTGTCGCCTATATTATTTATGGCATCCTCTATTAACTTAAGCGTTGTATTCAATGCACGAATTTTAAACTCAGTTGAAAATGTCGTCGTCACCAAGTCTAAGCTTAGCATCATTTCATCTGTTATATTTTCATCTTTTAAATCATTCGGTATAGCCAATATGATGCTCATTGGTCCAGAACTTTGAAATGGTGGTAGTATTTTGAATACTTCAACCGGTCGCTTTGGTATGCTTAGATAGAGCATACCAAGTAGATAATTGAAAACAGCAGGTAAAAAACGTTTAGAATGTTGAGAAAATTCCAATGCAATGGTTACTAAAAATAAGCCTATAGATATATCCTGGCATGTACGCACACGAGCTTTTGATAATATGTGCTGTATAATAATGTAACATGGTGTTACTATACAGTGTCGAAAATCCGATGTTGAGTAGAAATTTGATACTAATTTTAAGAAAATTGCTGTTTCCAAACCCGGGAAAACTTTAGAATTCTTACGAAATTCGTCGTATTTTTCTTTAATAACATTGAACAACAAAACTGACATTTTTTCTGGATTTAAGTGCACTAAATCATATAAATATGGATTTAATTTATCGAGTATCGCGAACTGTGTCGCTATGTTGTCCTGAGTTGCGTCGGCGAACATTTCATTTATATACTGTAGCAAAAAAGCAAATAGTTTGACTACATTCTCACGATTAACTCCAATTAGTTTTGGATGATTGCATTTGATTAAACGCTCGATTATAGTAGCCTGCTCAGCAGCTTTCCGATTGCCGATTAAAGTACTAAATTGTTTATATGTAGTAGGCATATCTACGGTAAAAGGTAAGTCGACTTCCAAGTTTTGTTTAAGTTGATTAATTTTTTCACTTTCCCCATTTTCAGCAACTCTATCTAAACTTTTTTTAGTTTGATTTTTTTTTGTTTGTATACTTTCACTTTCTTCTTCAGAATCAGTTTGTTTTAAATCACTCAAATCATCAGTATCTGCATCACTTTCGTCATCTTCCTCATCATCGACATCTTCATCTTCTTCATTACTATCATCCTCATTTTTGTTATCCGTTGCTTCGGCATTGCTTTCAATATTTTCATTGACTTTTATATCATTATATGTTGAAGTTTCATGATCTATCCGCGTACCCAACTCACCTATAA